TATTGTGCAGCCAATATTTTCAACCAACATCATAAAGAAAGCTTATATTTTTAAAGCATTTAAGAGGAAGCAAGTGGGTTTTTATCTTCGAGGAAGAACATGTTCTGGAAGTATTTTTCAGCTACAAGCATTCTGCACTGTGTTTGTAGAATATTTCTAATGAGTTTCAAGAATTCTTTGTTATGAGCTTAAAACTAAAGGTTTGCAATAAAAGAAACAGTACTCATTTAAAACCCTGGTAACAAACTGATTGACAGTTATCCTTACTTTGAGTCTTTACACTGTTTTACATACTCATGCTTTCTTCTAAACCATAAATGTTTTAAATAATTTGTTTTCTGTAAATAAAGATCATCATCACAACAGCTGCTACCTTGTAAAAAGAGATAATGTCTTGGTCTCTTAGAAGTTATTCTTGTTGGTAGTTTGCCTGCAGGTGAACTTTTTCTGTTTCACAATTCATAATAGGTTTATAGTTTGGAGTGAAAGACTACTGTCAAGTAGTCTGCAGGGTGCATGAGTCTCTGTAGCATACATATGCACAGTCTCTCAAAAGAAATAGTAAAGATTCAAGAATTAAGTCAGAAAGTTGTATACAAGATTCTGTATAAGTACAGTTGGCAGTAAGAAGTTTGAGGTTTATGGCTATGATTATTTAATACTTTTGGTGTTAGTCATTTCTTAGCAAACACTGGAACTTCTCTGGGACTTTCCTTAACTCTGGGAATTTCCTAACCTTCGTTTCATTAAGTAAGTAAGCACTTACTATAAACATGTAAAATCTATTATCTTCAAAGGATGACAAGCATAAGGTATAGGTAACATTCTAATAACCTAAGATTAGAATAGGAACATCTTTTGCATCAATATTGAGGTTACTTCCATATGAAGAAAGAAATGACAAAATTGTCAAGAAGGGAAGAACTTGTGTATTAACACTGTTCTCACAGAGAAGTATCCCTGAAAAATATTGAATTTGCAGAACGGAGAAGGTACCATCTACATCAAGAGGTCAAGTGATTTGATGTGAAAATATTTGCCAGGCCCTAACCCTGAATTATTTATATTTTCTCCCATTTCTTTTTAGAAATAGTACTACTTTTGTTCCTTTGTTACTATGTTCATTTGCACTGGTTTCAGTCTCTTTCACTCCTTTCCTAAGTTATTTTACAGGTTGTGCATTTCTCACAGCTGGATAACAAGTAGGAATCCCATTGTACGACATATAGCCCATGCTGATGAACACTAGTTCTATGCATGGATCATGCAGTGAAGCATACGAGAAGAAAATTTCAATAACATTCTAGTTTTTCAAGTAACCAGCACACACAACTGGAACAGATTTTCAGGTGGATTCAGATCTTATTTTAGGAATCCCAAAGGGGACAGATGATTTTTAGTGGTCCAATCCTAACACATTTCCCTCAGGAATTATAACATTTACGGCTACATTTTGAAAATAGCTCATGGTCCAATGAGCTCACAAAATTTGAAGATTGTAATTTAAATTCATTTTGCTGTGTAAAAAAAAAAATATGTTTAAATCATAAATTCTGCAAGTAGACTGATTTGCTTGTAATGGAACATGGAACTCAAATTTCCTAGGCTTTAATGCATTAAGTAAAAACTATTGCAGAGCTAAATATTTGGGCCCTGAATTTTCATTTGTTACTTTACATGTAACTAATGTATGTTACAAATCTGTTAATGGTATGAAAAACTACAGCATATGCTAACTACATGTTATTTGTAATGTATGTTGCCTTCACATAAGAAGTACTTTAAAATCTTGATCTGGAAGAATTCAGACAAATTTTCAGACTGAAGAGGTTCAGACATCATGTAAACCAAAGCACACTCAAATCAGATTTTAATGTTTTAAATAACTATGGTGCTGTCCAAATTAGGCTGAAAACTTCATCTCTGATTTCCACAAGGCTTTACATTTTCCATTTAATGCCCCAGCCTCCTTTAATTGGAGTCTGGAAGAGGTTGCTAATCAACAGCAAGATGGTGGTTTAATTTTCTGTAACTACTAAGGGCAGAAAATATTCCACGCAGCTATTTGCCTAGAGCAGGACATGGTCAGGCTGGGTGGGAGCATCAGAAAAATGCTCCTATTCTGTCAAGTCAAGGAAGGTGCTGATGGTCCTGTTATGGGGAGGGCCAGGTGTGGGGCAGAGGCTACTGGTGTCTTTGTTTTCCAGCAATTCTCCAGTCCCTGCTCAGCAGCAGGAAAGACAATTCTGCCTCGCAGTCTCCTAGCTTTTAGGATTTATTTAGTTGTGCCATGCTAATGGTCTTAGGTAAAGTGAAAATTATTAAGCCGTATTTGACCTTAATTTGTTGAGCTGAAATGCACTTTTTTCTTCCGGTGTGACAAATCACTAAAAGATCAAACCAAATAAAGTAAAATTTACAGCTTGTCTGCTGTTGTGCAAACATGGAATTAAAAGCAAAATGATTTAAGAATTGCACAGTAATTTAATTAGAAAAATTAGTAGTTCAGAGTCCCCTATGTCCTATGTTCAAACCCACATTCAGATTTGGTCTTCCCAGGGACTTGGTACAGTGAGACAATTTAGCAGAGACACATAGATCAGATAAAAAATTCTGATGGTTTTTGGTGCTTTCAGAAGTCTGGTGTAGCACAATATATGTGCAAATATAGATTTTCCTATCAAAACAAACAAATCCCTTATGGATTGTGAGCTCCTATCCTAGGAGACTTTTAAAAGTTCTGTTAAAGAGGTAAAGAGCACATCTATCTGATTATATTTGGTGGCAGCTGAGAGTAACAGCACTGGGATTTTTTCTATTAGGGCCAATCATGAAGACTTGAAAGACAGTGAAAGAATTGTACAGAGAAAGAAAAGGAATATATAATGAAGAATAAGTAAAGGACCTTAAATAATATAAAAATATTGATTGTAGGTTTGTAGAGACCTAATATAGAAAGACACCATTTTTCTCAAGTCACTATTTCTAGTTTCATGGAGTGAAACAAAGCTTATTAATATTACAGTTAAGAGGAGGATTGAGGCAGCCAGTGAATGGTTAATGAAATGTCCTATTTTGGTATTGGCAGGAAAAAGAAACACAAGACCAAACACAAGACCACTCACTGATTCAGATTAATTTGGTGTCACTCATTCCACCTGATTCTTTTCAACTTTTTCTGTGACTACAAGTGTGTGATGAAAACCCGCTAATGATACAACCTTTGTGCAAAATATTTATTGTCAGTAAACCCTAAAACTCTTGCCTATTGTGCTCACAGGGTTACAGGTTTCTTTATCAGTAAAAAAAAATTACAAAGTTTTAAAGTCAACTCACAGCAAGGGAAACTCAACCTGGAGTCTGACAGGACTTTTTTTCTGTCAGCTATGACTATTATACCTGAAATACCCAAATTTCTTACAAAACCAATAAAAGTATAATTATTTCTGTTAAGAACTCTCTTCAGGCATTAGGCCTCATGTCCTTAGAGCGAAGGAGGAGGCACGCTGATGTTGACCTATGTAGCCATGCCTAAATTCCTCTTCAGAGAGTTGTATTGGGGCAGGAAGGAGCATATTTGTGTTAACTCACTTTGTGAATATCAACATTAGTCCAGATGCTGCATGGTCTGGCTTCCAAAAGTTTTAATGCTTAATTTTCTGAAAAATTAAAGAAGGATCTAAATGGTCAGAGCTGTGATTCCCCTTATGAAATGACTATGGTTTATACCCAGAGATTAGAATGCATTGCTTTTAATAGACAGCAGTACTGTTACTGTTACAAACACTTGTGCTTAGGAACCTATTGCTGACTATAACTGAGTTAAATAAAGGGCTGAAGATAAAATGGAAAGGAGAGAAGATATATTGAACATAAAATCTAGGCAGCATCAGTAGCAAACTAGTCCATAATCTTTACTGGAAGCATAAATGATAGAAGATGTCATCATGACGCAGAAAAAGTGCTATCAAGATCTTGGCTGTATCTGATAAGCCATCGATCAGACACCTTGTGACATGAAATTCTTGTTTGTTCTCTCACTAGGGGCTGGAATACACACAAATGATCTAATGGTGAAACACTCCATGTTCAGCTATTTCAGCTCAATGAATGGTTGGCCACAAACTCTGTTTCTAATAAAATATAAATTTCTCTTCACATATTCAGCTATGACCATATTGCATCTTTGAATCTATTCAGTCTGTAAAAATATTTGAATACTGATAAAACGTGAAACTGTTTTGATTGCTTACCAACAGTTTTCTGCTTTCAGCGCTTATTCCTCATGTTATATTAGTTAATTATGATTGGTCAGGAAACCTCCAAATTTTCTTTTTCTTCCTTGGCTGGCTGAGTGAGAATCATTTGTCTTGTGCAAATATAAATGCACTGACACACTTCAGTACATTTTAAAAGCCTCTTTCTGATCCTAATACCTCTGGCTACATCTTTGGAATTTACTTTAATAAACATTCATGCCAGCAAAACCCAAATGAACAAGTTTTTTCAGAAAGTAAATACAAAAATGACATTAACGTGGCCTAAGTAAATTCATTTATAAATACAAGCAAATATTAATGGAAAATTTAGCCCCATTAGCAGTCCCTAGAGCTTGTCAGTCTCAGACAGGGTCAAGGACAGGAGGATGTAATGGTGTCAAAGAAAAACAGATGCAGGCAGATAACTGCTGTGTGATTCAGAGATATAATTCACCTGAAGTAAGAAATGGGATCTGAAATGCAGCCCCACTCTCTTAAATAGAAGGCACTCAAGCTTGTTTTTGTAGCAGGTTGCAATTTTCTTAAATAGTCTGTTCTACGTGTTCTATTCCAGCCAAAATATATTATATGTTTCTGTACTTTTTGAAGTGAGTACTGTAGAGTGGTGTGATTACAGCTTTTAGCAGCCTCTTTTTGGCTGCCTGGGTGTCCTTTGGTAATTGAAAACTTGTTTATTGGCATCGTTTGTTGGACTTTATTTAATCACTGTTTCTCCTCTAGGAGCTGCTTTATCCCTTCTGAGGGTGGACTCTTTGCATAGGCTTTGTCTGATTTCTGGCATCGAGCAGGCTCTGTTTCAAGCAAGCGGATTTGTAATTTAGACACAGTGAGTAGCCACCAGCTATCTTGTCACAGGGTGCAGTGGGGATCTGATTGTTTGTGGCTCTGTGGTGCCGGCCTCGCTGCTGGAGGTGCTGATAAGTACCTGACCGAGGAGGGATGAGTCTCCCTCGCACCGTGCGGGACAGCTGCCAGCTGCTGCTGCTGCAGCCGCCTCTGTGAAGGCCACCCTCGTTTCACTGAACGCAGCAGCAGGCAGTCTGGCCGCATTTTTAATTGGGAAGAGTTTGTTTAACGTTTATCTGTTTATCAAAGTGGACCCTTGTTAACACTGATCGCTTAGATTTCTGTTTAATCAAGTAACATACAGTATATACTAGGTTTTGCTCTAATTTAAATATTACCTTTTCATCCTTGTCAGCAGAATACTTCAGCTTAATTTCTTATTAATACTGACAGGAAAGAAGAGGTTTATATTGTAGATAAATGTTTATTTATGGGGCCTGACAAAGGGTGTTTCTTGCTGGCAGAGTGAGAGGAATGCTGCCATGAGCAATGAAAGACCTTCTTGGCTGATGTGAAAGAGATTCAGAGGCTGTGTTTTCCCCAGTAAAATCACACTAAATTTCTTTTTGACCCCTTAGGAAAAGCTGCACAAAAAAATTCTACTAATAGAATAGTTATAGGAAAGAGGAAGAGTCACCAAGTGTAGAGGCCCAAGTGGCTGTTGCAGCTGAACTGTCCGTTCATCAGCTGGGAGAGAGGGCTTGCAGATCAATAGTGAATTGCTTCTTCTAGTGTGTCTGTGGAAAGAATAGCTAAGAAGAGATACTAAATTACTTTGGTTTACAAGTTTGTTTGAGTAGTGCTTTATTTGGAGAACTAATTGTGTTGGATTAGTACTTTATATTCTTGTACCAACACCCATATATAAAGATGTATCTTCACATATACATGGTAAGCATGTATATTCTTTCTTTCTGCCAGTCAACGTGGCAACTCAGAAAGTATGAAGACCATTCATTGTGTTGGGGTAACGTGGGCAGGGAGTGACTAGCAGCCAGGTGTACCTGAAACAAGAAAATGGGAAATGAGTGAGTGCAATGCATACAGTTTATAATCTTGTGAGTAGAATACAGGCTGTACTGCCCTTGCGTTGTTCAAAAATTGCCAAAAATTAATTGTTAGAAATTCTCTGGAGAGAATTTTCAATGTGCTTGTTTATTTGTACTAGAAAATTAAGTACATGGAGACCTGCCCATACATATACATACATCCCTATTTATAGATGTGTGACACAGGATAAACTTTGCTTTTACTGTTCAATGACAGATTCTTCAGTGCTCTGGCACAGACCCAGTTAAGCAAGCCAAACGAGGATGACTACCTTCCTCTGATTTTATAACAAGCCCACCTACTCAATTAGTTTGTGTTGGTGGCAGAAAATTATAATGCATGAATTGCTATTTATTTTAATAAACTACATTATTCCTAGTCCAGCAGAAATATAAGATTCTTAACACTTTTCCCCCAAAAATCAGGCTGTCAGGGGACTGATCTCCAAAGGACATGTTTTATTGTCCAACATTATATCCTGTGCAGCTGTTTTTCATCAGTTTATTCTAGGATGAATTTTAAAACTGATTCTATCACTAGCCAGTGAATTTGAGAGTAGCCTATATCTTTTGAACAATAACACAGACAAAAGTTGTTTTTTCCCTCCATGTCAAGGTTTATAATTATTTAAAAATCCCTGATCATCTTTACAAGCTAAATCTTCAAGTTTGTCTCTCCCAGAGACTTAAAGTCATGGTTCTTTAAAAAAAGGATGAAAATCATAAAAATTAGATTAATATTGTTTATGAGTGGCATGATGCTACTTAACTCTTATTCAGAATCTTTCATGTTGAGTATTAACAGTTTTTAATAAAACTCAGTATTTTAATAAAAATAATTATTTTCGAAATAACAAATACAGAAAATTCATTGACAAAATATGAATGCATTTGTGAAAGCATGATCTGCTGACAATCTATGGAAACAGGAAAAGAAGCTACATTTGTTGAGTGCATTGCTGACTTTGGTTGTTTTCTGGTGGTTTTGTTTTGTTTTATTTTTTTTCACGCTCTATTCTAATATTAAATGGTTGTATTAAATCTCCATGGGTTTCTAGTAATTGTATTCTTAATTTATGGTGTTATGAAACATTTGCTTTTATCAGCAAATTGCTAGCTTTCCCTTGCATAATACCTAAACTTTCTCAGTTCAAAATACATATTATCTCCTCTTTATTGGAAAAATATTTTGCAGAGGTTATGAATGCTTGCAAAAGAAGAAAATTAGAGGGAGGCCACACTACTGAATGACCTCAAATGCAAAGCTATAAAGCTGGTGAAGTGGTACCTGGTACCTGTTGTAAAACAGGTGGAGTAATTAGAAGTATCTAAACCATGAATAAGATGAATGAAAAATAGATTGAGCAGAGGGATTTCTGTTGTTGTTCTTTTTTCCTTTTTTCTTTTTTTTTTTTTTTTTTTTTTTTTTAAATTTTCCTTTAAGGAATACTTGTTATTTATTTCTCCCCTTTTGCATTGTACAGTTAGTTCTAATATTAGTGCCACTAACATCAGTGGGAGTAGTGAAAAATCATTTCACCTTTGACAGACCCAAATATATGTATGTGTCTGTGTATATATATGTGTGTGTGTATCTCCATAGTACATACATGAATACATTATACTCTTGAGAGCTTATGAAGTTTCTCCTTCCTGCTTTTTTTCCTTTATTCACTTGGAAAAGATAACTGTGGCTACTTTTGACAGTGGTGTGCTGTATTTTAGATAAGATCTTTGATACCTTGGAAATAGAGTTCCCTTATGCACCTTATGAGATATCCAGCAGTGTCTCTCTCTTGTGTCTCTAGACTATATCTGAAAAGCTGCTTGGCCAGATGGCACTGTAGATCTGTAACATTTAAACATATTTTTGGCAGCCCAGTGCATGCATAATATCCTGGGTGAAATATTTTTGCTTGCCAGGCTAAAAAAGTGTGTAAACTTCAAAATTACATCCAAAGACACCTGAATATCTTTCTATATTTTCTTGGCCAAGTACCTACAGAGGGCTTGGCTTAACCAATAATAAGCAGATTAAACAAGAGTATTATTCTTCACTACAGCTGTTTTCTGACTCTTAACAAAGAATGTGACAAAAGTAGTGACTTTTAAAAGTCTTCTAATATCCTGGATTTTCCATTCTGGAACGACTGAGCAAAACTTACCTATAATGTGGCATTAGTTATTTATAGTTATGTCAGTATCCTAGAAAATTTTTACGCTTTAGGCTATGATCACAACTGTCTATTGCTCCTATATGTTTTCCCCACTGTTGTAGCACAGGCAGTTTCCTCTGTACTACATGTGATGAACAATTTTTAAGACGCCTGCAAATAGTCTGACCTCTTTATTTAGCTGGTGCACACAATTAACATTATTTACCAAACACATGACATTTGGTGATATTTACCAAACAGATGACATTCACCAAAAAGAATAACATTATTAACTCAGTAGAAATTCACAAAACATTGGGAAGGTAGGAAGCAGACATGGAAAAAGGTGAAAAATGCTGACTGAAATTTCAAATCCTAGCTAGTTCCAGAAAAGGACATAACCTAGCAGTATTCATGTGGCTGACTGGTAATCAGGGGCAATGGTAGGGGCAGCTTTCAGAATGATAGTTGAATTTTGATGTTCATTATTCTTCAATAATATTGAGGTCTGAAGTCAGTACTTTGCATTGATTCTATTAATTGAAATTCAATTCATAGCCTTATGCAAGTATATTTGAAGTACCTTGTCCTGGGTTGAGTGAGTTGTGGAGTTTTTTTGGTGGCAGGGGAGGGGACTATAGGGGCAGCCCCCTGTGAGAAGCTTCTCGAAGCTCCCCCAGCTCCAAGTCAGCTCCACTTCTGTTTGGGAAATTGAGCCAATCAGCTGCACCTCTGCGATAACGTATTTAAGAAGGGACGTGGTGACGAGCAGTGAGACTTGTGAGGAGGAGTTGCTGCAGCTGCATGAACACCAAGGTCAGTGGAGGAACAGAGGAAGAAAGGAGGGGGGAGGTGTGCCAGAGCAGAGACCCCCCTGTACCCTGTGGTGAGATGGCAGGGCGCCCCCCTCCCCACCCCCCCCCCCCCCCCCCCCCGAAAGATCTATGGTGGAGCAGACACTGATTTATGGCCTGTGTTATTCAACTGGATGATCAAGGTGCTATGCCTGAAGAAGGCTGGGGTCTTGTGGGAAAAGGCAGCCCCGCTGCTGTAATTCAGCGCTGGGAGGATTGCAGCATGCGGGGGAGTCCCACGCCGGAGCAGCTTGGGAAGGGCTGCAGCCGTGGGAGGGACTCCAGTCAGAGAAAGTTAGTGACCCATGACGGAGCAGTGTGGGGAACGCTGTGGCCCATGGGAGGAATTCAAGTCGGAGAAAGTTTGTGGAGGACTGTCTCCTGTGAGAGGGGGACCACGATGGAGCAGGGGGAACAAGTTTTGTACACTCCCCTCACCGAACGTGAAGGAAGTGGCAGCACTGACTGCACCCCCCATTCCCTGTCCCTGCGCCACTGGGGGAGGAGGTAGAGATATCGGGAGCAGAACTGAGCCCGGGAAGAAGGGAGGAGTGGGGGAAGGTGTTCTCAAGATGTGGCAATGCTTCTCACTGTCCTACTCTGTTACGTGTTGTTAGTGTCTGTAATAAATGTATGTTCTTTTTTTTCTTCCCCTAACAAGTCTGCCTTTTGCTCGTGGCCATAAAGGGTGATTTTTTCCCCATCCCAGTCCTATCTTGAACCCCAAGCCTGGCTCTCTGTCCCTTATTGCTGGAAGAGAAGGGAGAGAGAGTGACTGCATGGTGGTTTGCTGCCGACCAGGCCCAAACCACGACATACCTGAAAGCTGCACCACCATCTTTTAGCTTACTTATGTATAAGCAAACTCATATTTAGGCATCCATATTTAGTCAATGAGTAATATTATTCAATTACAATGAG